AAACTTAAAGGGATGGATTACACAAGAGGTAGCCCCTGGGTTTCAGTCTACCTGGGTTTTTTTCCATTGGGTATGCATTGGGATTTGGAACCCACATGGATTTCGGGTTTTCCCCTTATCCATGAAGAATCCTCGGCCCTTACAAGTGGTACCCAGCCCCGACAAAAACACGGAGTCCGAGGGCAGCTTCCAGCTGCTCGGCGTCCGCGCGCTGCACCTGGAAGCCTCGGTGCAGCCCTTGATGACGCGCCATGGGGACGTGGAGTGCGCCCTTTTCCTGGAGCTCAGGCGAGTCGGCGAGAGAGCCTGACAGTTGCCCAACCGGCGGGGGTCACCGGGGCGGGGGGTCCGCATGATCATGGTTTGCCTTCTTTCCAACCCAAACACACCCAAACGTGCACGCATGTGTTGCTTGGCAAAGATAAACTGGTATGCATCGCACTCAGTTGGACCCCTTTGAGTTTTGAAAGGGAATCAGTATGACGCCACCAAAATGACGGACTCTGTTTTTTTTTTTATCCTTCCCAATGAAGATGAGGAAGCTTGCGTTTTATTGATAAGGTTGATTTATTGAGAGAAGCAATACCATAGGGCGGTGATGCACATGCACAGGTATTGTTTGAGCTAGACACACGCGCTGTATAAACCTTGACTATTAGGCAGTTGCTGGACACGTGTCTTCTGAGACATGCCTACTGAATGGAGCATCACAAGCTTTACCAGTCCCTTCGGGGAAGCTGCAGAAGACACTCACCGTTGCAGCAAAACAATGCGATCGGGAGAACAAACAGGCAAGAGCCAGTCTAACAGAATACAAACCCCTGACCCACCAATTGTTACTCGGAGAGTGCTTGCACACGCATCATACTCTACAGAGGGCAGCCGGGACTGGCACTTCTATCCAGACTGTGCATTTGGAGTCGAGGATCTCCATGGTAGTATTTACTTTAGAAGGTCTCCGCTTCTCTAAAACATAAACCTCAAGTGCAAACATGTTGTTGGTTATTCTTTTATATAGTGGTCAGTGATCAGTCAGTGGTTATATTAATATTACCCACCCCTTTTAGGATGTTTTTTGTTTTTTTCTTTTTCCTTCCTCTTTTTTCGAAGCCCTCTTAGAGTAGGGCAGGTTGTTGGCAATACTAGCTTCCGATGTGCACAATCAGATGACGTTGCTAAGACTCATTGCCGCATAATCCAAGCTTGTCTATTTTGGTTCGGACAAGGTGCAAGCAAGGTGCTCCTGAGGGTTTGAGGGACTGGGATATTCTACAGATCCGCGGCAGCTGAACTCATCGAGCCATAGTACTTTGCATGTTTGGCCTCGGGAAGCTGTCAGTCACAAAGAGCGACAAGACCACATTTAGCGATTGCATCCGAGAGTACACCCGACGCGGACCAAGAGATGCTTTGTCAATGTTTGAAAGCAGTTTGGGTTGGGGGAAGGGGTCCCGCGAAGGCTGGGCCAAGTCCTCCCTGAGAGCACCTGGGCGCATGTGCTGGTTTGGTGCGGCCTCGAGGCGTTTCCAGGCGCTTCGGTTGGCTCGCTTGCCTCCAAAATGCCAGAGGATACCTTAAAAACCCACTTGGGTTCCATGTCAATTTGAGAGTTTGGATACATGTCACATCGGTGATCAATCTGAAGCAACTACATAGAATACCATGGTTTCATTCATGTGTGCATAAGGGCCTTAATTACAGTGCGAGCGCTGTAAAGAAAATCGGTTGGTCGAGGCCCAGGGGGGCTGAATTTCTTAGCGTCCATTTCGTCTTTAAAAAGAGCTGGTTTCTACCCCTCTGGAGCCAGGGGGGCTGGAACTCTTAGCGCATTCCTTAACCTTGGGGAATGCATTCCTGAATTTCTTAGCAAAGGAGTGCTTGATTGCCCGAAAAGGCCGCTAAGAAATCCAGGCCCTGAATTTCTTAGCAAAGGAGTGCTTGATTGCCCGAAAAGGCCGCTAAGAATTCCAGGCCCTGAATTTCTTAGCAAAAGAGTCCTTCATCGCCCGAAAAGGCCGCTAAGAAATCAGCCCCTGAATTTATTAGAAAAAGAGTCTTCATCCCCGAAAAGGCCGATAAGAAATCCAGCCCGCTAAGAAATCCAGCCCCTGAATTTCTTAGCAAAGGAGTCCTCCATCGCCCGAAAAGGCCGCTAAGAAATCCAGCCCCTGAATTTCTTAGCAAAGGAGTCCTTCATCGCGAAATGGCCGCTAAGAATCCAGCCCCTGAATTTCTTAGCAAAAGAAGTCCTTATCACCCGAAAAGGCCGCTAAGAAATTTCCAGCCGGAATTGAGTACAAAAGAGAGTGCTTGATTGCCTTAGGCCACACTCACTGTCCAACCTGGAATTTCTTAGCAAAAGAGTCCTTCATCGCCCGAAAAGGCCGCTAAGAAATCCAGCCCCTGAATTTCTTAGCAAAAGAGTCCTTCATCGCCCGAAAAGGCCGCTAAGAAATCCAGCCCCTGAATTTCTTAGCAAAAGAGTCCTTCATCGCCCGAAAAGGCCGCTAAGAAATCCAGCCCCTGAATTTCTTAGCAAAAGAGTCCTTCATCGCCCGAAAAGGCCGCTAAGAAATCCAGCCCCTGAATTTCTTAGCAAAAGAGTCCTTCATCGCCCGAAAAGGCCGCTAAGAAATCCAGCCCCTGAATTTCTTAGCAAAAGAGTCCTTCATCGCCCGAAAAGGCCGCTAAGAAATCCAGCCCCTGAATTTCTTAGCAAAAGAGTCCTTCATTGCCCGAAAGGGCCGCTAAGAATTCCAGCCCCTGAATTTCTCAGCAAAGGAGTCCTTCATCGCCCGAAAAGGCCGCTAAGAATTCCAGGCCCTGAATTTCTTAGCAAAAGAGCCCTTCATCGCCCGAAAAGGCCGCTAAGAAATCCAGCCCCTGAATTTCTCAGCAAAGGAGTCCTTCATCGCCCGAAAAGGCCGCTAAGAAATCCAGCCCCTGAATTTCTTAGCAAAAGAGTCCTTCATCGCCCGAAAAGGCCGCTAAGAAATCCAGCCCCTGAATTTCTTAGCAAAAGAGTCCTTCATTGCCCGAAAGGGCCGCTAAGAATTCCAGCCCCTGAATTTCTCAGCAAAGGAGTCCTTCATCGCCCGAAAAGGCCGCTAAGAATTCCAGGCCCTGAATTTCTTAGCAAAAGAGCCCTTCATCGCCCGAAAAGGCCGCTAAGAAATCCAGCCCCTGAATTTCTCAGCAAAGGAGTCCTTCATCGCCCGAAAAGGCCGCTAAGAAATCCAGCCCCTGAATTTCTTAGCAAAAGAGTCCTTCATCGCCCGAAAAGGCCGCTAAGAAATCCAGCCCCAGAATTTCTTAGCAAAAGAGTCCTTCATCGCCCGAAAAGGCCGCTAAGAAATCCAGCCCCTGAATTTCTTAGCAAAAGAGTCCTTCATCGCCCGGAAAGGCCGGTCTGGATTTCTTAGCAAAAGTGTCCTTCATCGCCCGAAAAGGCCGCTAAGAAATCCAGCCCCTGAATTCCTTAGCAAAAGAGTCCTTCATCGCCCGAAAAGGCCGCTAAGAAATCCAGCCCCTGAATTTCTTAGCAAAAGAGTCCTTCATCGCCCGAAGAGGCCGCTAAGAAAACCAGCCCCTGAATTTCTTAGCAAAAGAGTCCTTCATCGCCCGAAAAGGCCGCTAAGAAGTCCAAGGCCCACCCAACTGCCAAGGTGAGCTGGTGTAGCGGTACCACTCCCGCACCTCAGCCACCGGAAATTATTGGTTGATTCTGGGCGTGCGAAGGTTATTCTCTTCCTCTCGCAAGCTACAAGTTGGCTAAGAAATTGGACGAAAAATCCAGGGGGCTCAATTTCTTAGCACAAAGGCCGCTGCAACCTGCTTGATTTGGGAATCTCAGCCTCAACTTCTTATATAGTGATTTTTTCTACAGTGCTTGCGCTGTACTTCAAACGTGTGTGACTTAAGGTATACTGGAGGATGGATTTGTCCTTGCGCTGCCACCCAACAAGTAGCCAAGATATTGTTGGTGGTTCTGTGTTTTGGCTTGACAAGCTGACAACAGGTAATTCTCAGGAAATTCAGAACTTGGAATGTCTGGGATGAAGTGCGGTCCTCATGAACTTTTTTTAAGGTCCATCCCGAACATGAGCCCACAGGCCCGTTCTGACTGAAGGCAGGAACGGTTGCAACCTCCCCCGCAACACATTTAAGATTTGAACACTGGCTCCCACCGACATCACAGACATCCGCGACCTCGGCTAAAAGTTGCAAGATTCATTGTGCGTGCGTGGATGTGTGGGTGTGTGGCTGTGATGTGTGGGTGTGGTGGGTGGGTGTGTGAGTGTGGCGGGGTGCGTTGTGGTGTGTTGTGTTGTGTTTCGTTGTTGTGTGGTGATGTTCTTTTCTGCTCTATTTTGTTCTGTTGTGTCTCTTCCTCGTGTGTGCTAAGCACCTATGAGGGCCAGCGCAGGAGACAATCGAGGCAGCGCGGAACCTGACGAGCCCATGGCAGCGATGCAACTACGCCTGCCCAAAGGACTCATGGATGACACGTCATTTAGGTGTTTTTTGTGGTCAGAGGCAGCCGCCCTGAATGTACCTTCTTCTTGTTTCTTGAATTTGCAATGTGTTAAGCGACGTCGTCCTGGTAGTCGTGATTGTGTTTGCTTTGTTTGGTTGCGACGAGTTACCTATTACAATAAATAGGCCCCAAGCCCCAGCTTGCATGTGTGTGTGTGCGGGAAAGTTTTGCCAGTAGATTGAGATGATCCCTGATCTGAGAGTAAGGATAAGAAGGCGAGAGTACCAGAAGAAATGTTTGTTGGTGCTTGTTTGTGTATGTGCGTGAAAGCTCCCACTTAGCTTGCATTCTGCGCCATGCAAAAGCTTGAAACACAATTGATCAATCAATGTTTTGTAAAGCAGAGTTGAGACTATGGTAGTGCGCGTGTGTTGTTGGTTGTGCCGCGTCTCAAACACAAAGCTTTGGAACGCTGCGATGACATCCTGGCGTTGTTTGATTTAAGGCAATTCTTGTGGTAGGG